ACAGTCACTTCAGAAATTTTTAAGTTAGAGTGTACAAGCAGTAGATTATCATTCAGTACACTGAGTGAAGAATATTGATTACTCTGTCTTGTTGAGCTCTGCTTGTAACAGTTTTTCGACATACATTAAGCCATAGTGTATATATTCATGTTAGTGCTACAGGGAACTAAACCGGAACATTATTGGTTAAAACACAACCGGAAAGCATTCATAAATTCACAGAAAATATTCCTTTTTTTTTTTGCAGAAATACTCTTTTAACAGTGGATCAGTGAAGACTTCTATCTCACCAAAAGCACTCCACTTGACAGCCACTTATCAGAGAGGAAACCTGCACTAAAGTCACCTACAAACATATCCTGTACAGAAGAATGCAATTATCTAACTTAAACATCAATGATACAGCTTTTTACTCTAAGTCGCTTATAATGGCCTTGAGGAAAATCATAGAATATCAGCTCAAGCTACAGATATATGAGAACTAAAGGTAAGGATTTTCTTGATAAGGTTTTGATGGTGGTATATGATTCAGTCCCATAACGACTACAAATTAGCACTCAGACAGAAGATCAGACTACTAGGTTAGAGGTGGTTTTGTATCACTAGCTAAGCTTACATACATCCCTAGTGTTTCTTTAACAGGTGTTCTAAATTATGAACCAAAATGACCATGGCGCTGTATTCACCATCTTAAGCTTAGCTGTAATCAACTAAGAGATGACTTGTTTTAGTTTGTATATAGATTCATGTTTATCGAGTGATCACTGGTTGATGTTCAGTACAAAATATTTGATCATGAATAATCTAAAACTATGACAACTTGTACATGGAAATACTGCACGATATTCCTTGACCTGGACTGTGGGTGGAAGAATACAAGAAGCACTAGTGACACAACCTGGTGTAATTGTCTGTCTGTGTCGTCGATGATTGGGGGTCAAGATGGTATTAATTCATATCGTGAATTAGACCTTAATGTAGTTCAATGCTAGAGCTAACGATGGATGAAGCAGTAATGATTGTGTAATGTCACTGAATCTAGGACAGTGGATGAGGCACGGTGGTTATGGGGGAATGACACCAGTGATGGATAATGTGGAGGTTGACTTGCTTGTGGAAGGAATAGGTATGACAAGGCTGTAAAGGTCGTGGAGAAGAATCCTTAGATAACTAGAATAACGAAGAATAGAAAAAACTAATTTGATATCGGTAACTGAATCCAAATTTGTAGTAAGGGATTCAATGTTACCTTCTTGAGCCAGCCTAGTATATTGATGAGGTAGTAAGGAGCTATCAGACTCACGCTACTGTATCTATCGCCCTCTTAGGAAGGTAATGACAGGTGAGACTGGTAACTACTAACTAAGAGAAAGGACAGGTAAAGGGATGACAAGGAAAGACTGATAAAGAAGTAATTGGAAAAAATGAGAAAGAGATACAAGGCAGGATAGAAAGGATATGGAGAGACGAGATTATAGGTTATGAGAAAAGAGGTAAAGATGAATGAGATTTCACAAAAATGAAAGGTGAAACAGGTATGGGGAAGACAAGAGGTAAAAATGTGTGAGAACTATGAGTATAAGAAGTGATAGGTATGAAAAATGAGAAGATATAAGAGGAATGTGTGAATGTAAGAATGAGAATATTAAGTGAGAAGATTGATAAAATATGAGAGAAGTGACCGGGTAGGATTATATCAGGCGGGAGGATAAGAGGCAGACACAGCGTACAAAAAGGAGGAAAAAAAAGTCAAAATGGAGAGAGATGAGTGTCAGAATAGGTTTAGGATACGATAAATGAGATAGGACGTCTTAAAACGACCAATAAGCTCGATACGTGGGGAATTAGACTGAATACTTCTATGACTAATATATATATATAAAAAAAAAAAGGTTCCACAGCGACCTCTACATTTTATCACTGTGAAACTGATCCTCGTGGTGGAAGCTGAAGTAAACTTAGCTATTATTCATCTTAAGAGTAGGATACGCACAGGAAAGGGATGCAATTCGTACAGTATTTTGCACGGCCTGGGAACTTATAGTATTATTCAAACGTTACAAGATGCACTGAAGTTTTCTTTTATGACCAAAACTGAGTTCCATACAGAATTTATATATACACAAGTCATGTTATCTTAGGTAAGCATTACAAATGTTCTCCATCTTCCCCTTCCGTCCTATAGTGGCTCGTGCTATATAATGACAGGATTTACTGCTTACCCGCAGAAGCTGAACTTGTAGACAGCGTCACAAGAGGTTACTGCTGTCAGCTACACTAATGGAACTTCCCTGAAGAATCGTCATATATATTTAACAAATTCACCAAATAAACCTATTAAAAATAATGATTATATATTACAATATACATAAGTTTCTTTTCAGTTAGTCCTGTGTTTGTTCCCGCAGGAGCGAGACTTGTTTAACACATATTTGGTGGATTTGCCTTTCATTTATACTCGACGGGATTATTGTTTTAGTTACGCCTAAGACAAGTAAAAAAAAAACTATGGTTGCTTTCCCCGGTAACATATGTATTGCTATTTATTCCGTGCTGTTTTCTCTTTCCTTATTTTTTATGTAAAAACCAGGAGGGAATTTGTCCTCAAAGATCTGTTCTCTCACTAGCGACACATTTTACTGGGTCTGACACTTTCTGGACGACCAACACTCACTTTCTACAGCAGCAGGTTATAAGACATTGCCACACACACACACACACACACTGTGTATCCTTAAGTTTTGCGAGGATCACTAAAGTAGTTCCTGTTTTTGTTCATTGATCGGTGGTGTTCGAAAACTGTTCATATTAACAGAACACTGACTACTTTGTTACAAGTTTGGTGCACTTTATTAATTTTGATAACATTTATTAGTTTAAATCTTATATATATATATATATATATATATATATATATATATATATATATATATATATATATATATATATATATATATATATATATATATATATATATATATATATTCTCAAGTAGTTTTTGTTATGATAAACTTTCAATAAATCCAAAGATCTTAGTTCACCACCTATGAAAGAGTTACAAGTGTAGTTTGTATTTGTAAAAACGAGGTGGCTGTCTAGTGTCTCCCCACCAGACCCAGAGTCCGCACACAGCAGTAAGGCGTCGCAGTCCTCACTCAGCTTTGGTCTCCACTGTATTTAATGTTTGATAATTATTGTGTACCTTAAACCTTCTATGGAAGTATCTATCTTCAAACTTAAATTTTATATAATACTTTCAGGTGATATTTAATAATATTATATTCCCGTTTCGTAGAATGACGAATATTTTTGATGAAAATGTGAAATTGTGATTCATTCGTCTAAATGTTTAATAATATTTTTTGTAGTTAAAAGTGACTCTCATGTTTCCTGAAATTGTAATTCTCACTGTAATTCAATCATGTGGTAGATTTTTATGATAGTATCTGATTACAGTGCAACAATGACTTAAGCAGCAGCAGTGTAATCTATATTTCGAGTACATACGATTAACTTTGCATAGTGTATGTTCAGTGATATTAACATCCCCTTTATATATATATATATATATATATATATATATATATATATATATATATATATATATATATATATATATATATTCCAGTACCCTTTCCCTATTCGATAATTTCCGGTAATGTTAAATTTATCAACAATATGCACAAAATAGGTAGCCATGCATTTTCAGGAAACACTTATTTTCATCAATCAACGTATATAGAAAGCACATACCACTTTCTTTTTTGTCTCCGTATAACCTAATTCCTAAACACATATGACACACACACACACATATTACATTTGCCAGATAGGGACCATGTTAGTTTCTTACACCGAACTATTGTTTTTTCTTACTTGAAACTATCCATTTGTCATCGGCACTTTCTTTGGGATATTCCTCTACATATTGTACTGGTTTATTTGGATATTCCTCTGGATATCCCTCATGAATTTCTGGTTGATATTCTACCTGGTATTTCACCGGATATTGACGTGGATATTTGCTCTGGAAGAAGGTTGTATATTGTTCATGGTATATCTCTGTATATTCTTCCTTGTATACCTCTATATATTCCTCAGGCTGTTTTATTTGGTACCCTATTGGATACTTTGTAGGGAACTGCGGGGGATAATCCATTGGATAATTTTGATCCATAATTTCCCCGCCATATTCACCCATACTTCCTCTACGACGGTCATCCACCCTCTCACTACGATACTGATCCACACTTTTCCCGGGGTACTGATCCAAACCTTTCTCATGATGTGGATCCATAACTTTCTCAAGATGTGGATCAACACCTTTACCTTTCCCGAGATGTGGATCCATAATTTTCCCGAAATGTGGATCTATAACTTTCTCGAGATGTGGATCTATAACTTTCCCGAGATGTGGATCTATAACTTTCCCGAGATGTGGATCTATAACTTTCCCGAAATGTGGATCTATAACTTTCCCGAGATGTGGATCTATAACTTTCCCGAAATGTGGATCTATAACTTTCCCGAAATGTGGATCCACAACTTTCCCGAGATGCGGATCCATAACTTTCCCGAGATGTGGATCCACAACTTTCTCAAAACGTGAAACTACACCTTTTTTAAGATGTGGATCCACTTTTCTCCCGGAATAAGGATCCACACCTCTCTCAAGATAGTGATCTACACCTGGCCCATGAAACTGATCCACACCTTTCTCATGATATTGATGCACAGTTTTACCAAGAACATGATCCATCTTTTTCCCATGATAGTGATCCACGCTTCTCCCGACATAATGATCCCCATCTTTCCCGTGATACTGATCCACACCTGTCCCATGAAACTGATCCACACCTGTCCCATGAAACTGATCCACACCTGTTCCATGATACTGATCCACACCTGACCCATGAAACTGATCCACACCCGTCCCATGAAACTGATCCACACCCGTCCCATGAAACTGATCTATACCTGTCCCATGATACTGATCCACACCTGTCCCATGAAACTGATCCACACCTGTCTCAAGGTAGTGATCCACACCTGTCCCATGAAACTGATCCACACCTGTTCCATGATACTGATCCACACCTGTCCCATGAAACTGATCTACACCTGTCCCATGATACTGATCCACACCTGTCTCATGAAACTGATCCACACCTGTCTCAAGGTAGTGATCCATACCTGTCCCATGAAACTGATCCACACCTGTCCCATGAAACTGATCCACACCTTTCTTAAGATAGTGATCCACACCTTTCTTAAGATAGTAATCCACACCTTTCTTAAGATAGTGATCCACACCTGTTCCATGAAACTGATCCACACCTTTCTCACGATGTTGATCCACACCTGTCCCATGAAACTGATCCACACTTTTCTCACGATAGTGATCCACACCTGTCCCATGAAACTGATCCACACCTTTCTCAAGATAGTGATCCACACCTGTCCCATGAAACTGATCCACACCTGTCCCATGAAACTGATCCACACCTTTCTCAAGATAGTGATGCACACCTGTCCCATGAAATTGATCCATACCTGTCCCATGAAATTGATCCACACCTTTCTCACGATGTTGATCCACACCTGTCCCATGAAACTGATCCACACCTGTCCCATGAAATTGATCCACACCTTTCTCACGATGTTGATCCACACCTGTCCCATGAAACTGATCCACACCTGTCCCATGAAATTGATCCACACCTGCCTCATGAAATTGATCCACACCTTTTTCAAGATAGTGATCCACACCTGTCCCATGAAACTGATCCACACCTGTCCCATGAAACTGATCCACACCTTTTTCAAGATAGTGATCCACACCTGTCCCATGAAACTGATCTACACCTGCCCCATGAAACTGATCCACACCTTTTTCAAGATAGTGATCCACACCTGTCCCATGAAACTGATCCACACCTGCCTCATGAAATTGATCCACACCTTTCTCCTCATGTTGATCCACGCTTTTTCTATGACACTGATCCACATTTTTCCTGAGATCTTGATCAACATTTTTCTCATGATATCGATCCACACTGTCCCCGTAATATTCGTCTCCACTTTCGCCATGATACTCACTGGCACTTTCCTCATAATACTCACTGGCACTTTCTCTACTGCAGTCATCCACATTTTCGTCGTGACATTGATCAATGCTTTCCCTAGGGTTTTGATCTGTGCTTTCCCTACGATATGTATGTGCACTTTCCTTCTGATACTGATCTTCACTTTCCCCACGAAATTCACTCTCACTTTCACTCCTATATTTATCAGAATTTTGCTTATGATAGTCAGTCGAACTTTCTCCGTGATATTCACTCTCACTTTCTCCGTAATATTCGTCTGCACTTTCCCCGCGATATTCGTCTGCACTTTCTTCGTAATATTCATCCGCACTCTCCCCATAATATTCATCTGTACTTTCACCGTGATATTGGTCCGTAATTCCTTCATGATAATTCCCTGGTATTTCTTCAAGGTATCTTCTGGTTCCGGCGAGTGGATTGTTGTCTGAGTTTTCATCCACTTCATAGATGACGTACAGGACGCCTGGGCCTCTCCGTCCCTACGTGGGCTGGTCTTGTGCCTCGTCTACAATGATCGGGGTCACGACGGTGGTTTCCAGGCGTGGCGAGTGTAGTTCCCGCGGCTGATGGGGACTTTCCAGGCGCGGTGAGTGAAGTTCCCGCGGCAGGTGAGGGCTCTCGTGACGTGGGGAGTGTAGCTCGCGAGGGACGTGTGGGCGGTGGTCGTGAGGGGCGTGGAGTGAGGCAGAATGAGTGCGAACGTGCGGGTGATCGAAGGCGCGCTCATGGTGCTGGTATTGTGGGCGGTCGTGACGGAAGGAGTGCCGGTGACGGGGCATGTAGCGGGTGTTACGGGCACTGGCTGGTAAGGAGTACTGCTTACTCAGTGCCCCACGGGACATCGACCTCGACGGGGACAGACAGCTGTAACATTAACACCACATTACTACCTGCTTCCAGACCTAATGTACATAAAGGTAAATGAGTCAGACCAAAGAGAATATCGTTTTCCGTCTCTGTATTGATGGATAATTTATATCGGTACACCAGTTAAAGGAAAACATTTCGATTGTGCGAAAGTTGTGAGTGGGAGAGCTAGGTTTTTCCTCGTAATATATACAGCACATGCTTACGTAATTAAATCATTTTGAAATGAGAGGAGAGGGAAATCAAAACGACTCATTATACAGTCCTTTTCCGACTAAACAATCATGTAAGTGGTTTCGTCAGAAGGGCAAATGGATACTGTCATAATTCAGAGAAGTGTCAGGAATTACATATGGTCACCATACCCCGGTTCATGGTATATTTTAACATTAATTATAATTTTATCATTACTTTCCAAGACTGAAATGCTAACTAAATTTGTTGTTAAGAACTTAAATGTGTCTTTCTAGATAAATAAAAAAGAAAAGAAGTCAAAGTGACTTTTTAAAATGTTTGCATGTTCAGTGGCAGTAGTGCTCTTTACCTCCCGAGTTAAAGCTGATTGTCCGGTTAAGAAATTCCAGAGGGAGAGATAGATAGACAGATAGATATAACCCAAACAAACTAAACTATAGCCAAAGAACGTTCTGTCATTGTTTAAAGATGCTGAAAATCTTTTATTGCCTCACACAACACTCCTTCAGAATTCCGGTTGTTTATTTTTTCCTGTGTTTACATTATATCAGGTTCTCGGATTTTTATATCCTAAGGAGTTTCAAATCTCCAATTCGTTTTTTTTATTTACCTTACTTTCATTCCTAGACTCGTCAAAAATTTGTCTTTACCTATTTTCATTTTTGTCTTTATTTCTCTAATATTTCTCACTCTCTTTTCTCCGTTCCTGCATTTTTCCCCTCTCCATAATTATTCCTTTTTCTCAATTAACTCTTTCTGTCCATCTCTCTCTTACCTTGTCTTCGATTCAGCTTGTTGCTGTTGTTGTTGCTGTTGTTGTTGCTGCTGCTGCTGTTGTTGTTGTTGTTGCTGGTTGTCAATGGAGTTGGGCAGCGAAGTCTTGCGATCTACTTTCTCTCTTTGTATACCCAAGGTGTCCTCACCGCCCCCACTTCCTCTGGGAACGACTAAATGCATCCGTCTGCTCCCTCGGTCAGTCACAGGGTACCCTTGACTCACTGGGTACCCGTAGTACCCTCCCGCATACGACACCTGCTGGCGCAAGAAATATTATAGTTAAAGTAATCGAAGGGTGTGGTGTTAAGGAGCAAGGAACTGCTTAAATAGTAAAAAAGTCATGTATCGAAAAGCACTGACCTGACACTAATACAGTTACACCTCTGACTGAATAAGGTAAGACACTGGTTACCATGTCCCAATTTGTCCCATCCAAGCCACCTCTCATTAATACACACTGACCACACACACGCACATAGTAAGCTCCTCATTCTTCTTATGCACTCAACTTACCTGTGCATATTGACTTGGTTATCTTACTTCAGCCTCGATGACTTTCCTGATTACTTCATCATAGTTTTAGCGTTTTACCTGCCTAAGCAAGCCCCAAGCCTAATTACTTACTTTTCACCTGTACTTGCTAATTACTTGCCTAGACACACCCATTCCTTACCTTGCCTTGCCGTCTTGCCATCCTAAACACTCCCATGCACTTATCCCACTCTAACCACAATCATGCACTTATCCCTAACCACTTACACTTACTTTAGGTAGTATATCTTAACTCAGGTATTTATGCTTATCAGGTCACACTCTCTCTCCTACCTGTGTCACCTAAGCTTCAGCCTTTAAACACACTAATTCCTTTAATCTCCCACACTCACTTTTTACTACACCTGCTGATCGGCTTACCTCTTCCCCCTTGATTATCACACCGTAACCACATCTAACCAGCTCTTTATTTACACATTCTTGCTTTTTAAACACACCCACTCACTTCCTCACCAAGTTATTTCATCCAAACACCTGTGAAAGGTTGTTTTTCATTTCATTCTATTTTATCCTGTATATAAACGCCATTATAAAGCGTATAATGATACAGTACACATTTCATCATACAGTAATAAGATTTCACTGCCTTTTAACTCATAATTCAGATGTACTGTATTTTACTTCTATAGCTTTTAGTGTTAGCATTAAAGGTAAAATTGCTTGTAGTAACATGTGTTATTAATGACTCATATCTTGTTTTTGTGTCTTTATTGTCAACAGTCTGCTGGGAAGCCTTTGGTTTTGTCTGGAACGAGATCCTGTTCAAGGTAGTTAGTTGTAATTCACCATAATCACACTGTAGCAATGCTTTCCTAAATGTGATTATTACACCTTTATCAAAAACAGTCTCAGGGCTACTGGCTACTAATGTACCTGGTTTTATTGCCTTAATTATGCTCAATCACTCAGGTAATTTATAGTAACTTTAATCTAACCTGATGCCTTAACTCATGCACCTTCTTCCACTTACTTTGCCACACCGTCTGCCTTGTATATTTCATTTTAGCCACAACCCATCAACCTAGTTAGTTAACTTACCCTGGCCACATCTACTCACTTTCCTCATTTATATTAACGATGTACTCTCACCTGATTACGTCACTTATCACGTCAACTTACCGTATCTTGCTCTCTCGGCTTACCTAATATTTGGCCAAGTCTTTTATCTACGGTAAGCGAGTCCTCTCCTCCCCTTACCTACGCTCACTCACCTCTACCTCACCCATTCCCGTCTTGTTTTTTAGCCCTGGTCAAACCTACGTAATCATCTTATTTCTTCACCCAAATCACTTCCAATCACCTGTTTACTTAATCCTAATAACATCCACATCTCACCCTAGCTACTCCCACTCACCTGGTTGCCATATTTGTAGCTCGGGTTGCAGGAGCTATTGGAGTCGAGGCTAAGGTCGGAGGTGGAGAGGCCGAAGTTCCCATTTTCTGGCTCGACAGTTAGGCGCTGAGGCGTGGCGTGGTGAGAACGTGGGTGGTGGCCCATGGAGAGTCGGCGGTGATGTGGGCGTGGGGATATGTGTTCCACGGTTTCACCCTCCACAGCTGTGACTCCCTCCTCTGTCGTGTTCCTCGGGCGAACCCTCTCGCTCTTACTACGCTTAAGGTACACTAGACAGGAGAGAGAATCGTGTTAGAAGTCAATACAAGGTTCCCGTGTTACTGTAGCCATTAAGAAACATTTGATTCACTATTAAGGAAATGGTATTTCCTTGGTGTGACAAAAGCTACTGTCTAATGAAACGCAAATGATTTTTTTTTTGTTCGTCGTGTGCATAATTACAGCAATTTCTTGTTTATTATAAGCGGCAAAATTATGATGAATTTTATACATTCATTCTTTGGGCAGTTATCAAAAGGCTAGCAACAGATCGTCGAGGGAAGTGAATAAATGCGCAAGAACCGATAGTGCTGTGTCACCATCACCTTTTGGGAAAGGTTGTCACACACGGGTTCTCCGCTCCCACTGGTCTCCTTTTGTGTGATAAACGTTCATCTTTAATTCCAGCACCAGCAGTTCTCGTCACACGCTTTAGTTATTGATTCATGTTTGATATGTGCGCCGCCAAGACCCATTTCCTTCACAACTTTCCAATCGATTATAACTGCTTTATTTATGTTAAAAAGTCTACATGTTATGGGTAACTACTTCTTCATACAAAAATACAGTAAAAGTTATTCACAGGTTACGTCACCAAAGAAAAAAAAATCTCCGCTCGGAAAAGGTATAACGTTCAAGTGAGTTTAGTTGATTGTAGTTTTATTGAGTCTAAGATGATATTTTAAAGCGGATCTGGCAGCTCACAGCAACCTAACGTAAATAAAAACAATTGTCAGTTAGTGAGATGGAGACTTGGCACTGACGTTAAAGATCTCATTGTGTACGAAGGAATTACTCTTGCCACTAGGAAGGTGAACAGTGTAGGTGCAGGTGGTCACAACACTCGTGGCCTCCCTATCAGACAGCGGGTGTTGCCTCCCCTCCTGCAGCCTGTGAAAGCCGCTTTTCACGGACAGATCCCCACCGTTGTTCTCCCCAAAAGAAGGCGTGAGAAACAAGCATATTGTGGGAGAGGTGGAGAGAGTTTTTCTTTGCTCGGTTAGTGTCATAAAGAATGTGCCGCAATTAACGCTTCTGAACATAGAACTTTTATATTACACAGATTTACTATATATATGTGCGCGCGCGCGCGCGTGTGTGTGTGTGTGTGTGATTTGTTTGATTTATTTTAAGTATGATAAAAATAATTATTAATTACAACAGTCATGTAAGAGACGACCATGAAGAGATATCAACTGTTGTTTCCCCGCTGTCAGTCATAACTAACACACACCTGTATGTCTTTTGGTAAATGGTAGTTGCATTTTATCTATTTCTTCTTAAAGCGAAATATTTGTTCATCAGAAGACATTTTACAATATTTTTTTTTCACTCAGTCGAGGATGCCCTTACAGATGTCAAATACCATTGTTTCACGTTATCGTTCCAATCACAGTCAAGAGTGAGTTATCGTGTTGATCAAGCAGATGAACAGTTGACATATTGTTTACTGGGCTTCAACTGCATACCACTGACGTTGGACCTGATTATCTAGAATAATGGGCGTCCAGCAATATGATATGACTTACAAGAATACTATTTAGACTTGGCTACACACAGATGACTATAAAACACTTCATCAAACTCTGTATTGCTCACATTCTAGTTAATCGTGTCCTTCACTATCCAATTACCATGACATTAAATGTCTATATAAACGATAATGACTGCAAATTCTACATAGCAAACTGACCACGTAACTAAGACCAACGACGAACACTGAGTGGGACGCTTCACCTTCTATGGCTCGAATACAGCCTAAATTAACCATTCAATATATATATATACAAGAAGTTAGACTAAAGACATTAAGAAAAGTATACCATTGAGGAGATACGGTGCTGAGTAAAGACAAGGGACACACTGCTGTAGACGGACGACTGATCCACGTAGGGAGGAGGAGTAAGATATTGGAAGGCCTCAAAATTCACCAAAGAGGAAGAGTCTCCTTGTCAAACACATCTTTACAAAAATCGGTTACAAGGCCTTCCATGGTGTTCTACAAAAATATCTAAGATGAAAGGAAAGGTGAATCTCTTCGTATCTTCTTAGACACACAAGAGGTAAAAAATATACGTAAGGATGATAAAGGTCAAAAATCGAGGATACACGTTGCAAAAATCTTGTAGGAGAAGAGCGTCAACATCTGGGGATTACTAGTCGACCTCAGACCTCATTCTTGATGCTGAGAGCTAGAGTGACCTATGCTACCAGATCTTTTAGAGCAAGTTTCGTGACAAATGCTACAGTAGTATGGTGTAACACCTTTGTTCACAACTGTCAACAAACATAGAGGAGTCAACATTGGGAAAGTGTCCTTAATTAATCTAATAAAGTCATAAAAGAAACTAGTATTAGGTCACTCTTGCTTGGAGAGGTCAGGAGGAGCAGCTGTGCGGGCTCACCTGTTATTACTCCTTTCTGAAGTAGGGAGTTAACTGAAATATATGCATAAAAATGGAGAATACAATGTAGCCGCCATGAAAATTGTCTAAAAGCAGAAAATGGTAAATGTTTAGCAAATTTATGTGAAGCACAGTTTATATTGATCATTCCAAATGTAAAAATAAAATATGATTAATTATATATATATATATATATATATATATATATATATATATATATATATATATATATATATATATATATATATATATATAAGCAGCATTATAATCAAAATGCATTGCGTAATAAAAACACTAAAGGCAGAAGCAAATTTCAAAAACTTATACAGTACACAATTAAAATAACCAGCAAATGATGGCTAGTTTGGTAATACTTTCATATGGTTGGTGTTTACAGGAGTTGCAGCTTATTCTAATGTTTTGCATATGGGAGTCTGGCGTCAGTGTCTGACACTGAATGAATGTAATATATTGACGTGATCAAGATTATATGATTTATTTACATGATATAAATGGAAACTATGTCACTACACAAGAGAGTAAAAAATAAATCCACTTACTTTAGAACGTTCAGGCTCTACCGGAACCTTCACATACAACTTACTCTTACGAAGCCTTTATATTACACACAAATAATGGTGTACCCGGTGACGATAACCCAAATTATTACGTAAAGACGAGAGTCATTAACACATTGTTGTCCAAATGAGAGTTAACTTATGTAGGGAATGTCTTGAGGAAATTTACTATTTCTTTTAACATAAAAGTTACAGGTAGACTGAGAAATATATGGAGTCCAAGATGGGAAAGATCTGAGTGACTTCTGGGGAGACATTATGATCACGTGGGTATGAAACAAGGACTCTGAATGGCCGAGCAAATAATCAGATATGAAGTGAAAGAAACGTTGTCAAGTAAAGAAACAGAAAATGCTATCAAACTAATTATAAAAAGCGGGTACCATGACAGAACACCTTTATTACAGTAGCAAGAATAATGAAAGACAACGAATAAAGGGATAAAAAATGTATATCCAAAATGATGATGAGTTACATGGTCTAGTGAAGTGTTCATCCTAATTTGTGGTTAATGGTGATATAATGCTCAGGTAAAACAATTAGTACACCTCTGTTTAGTCCTTGATGAGGTATACTACGGTAATGTCATTTGAGGTCAACTAATCCCTGATCCATATTGAGATACAAGTTTGGTAACACATAGGAAAGTCGAGCTGTAGCCCTTTATGAGGCATAGAGGTTGTAGTCGATGTGTAGATGGATAGACGGACGGATGGATGGACGGACAGACAAAATGAGTGTTATGAGACATCTCTGTTAAGTTAGGTGATCCAAAGAGAATTTTTTTTTCAATATTGATGCTACACAACGCGACAAATTATATAAAACTTGATTGAAATTTGAAATAAATGTTGCTAATGTACCTCACTTGCTGTGACTCAGAGACTACTGTATATACACAAAATAAAGAGAAGAAACTTACATATCTCCAGGTCACGTTAGGTTCTTGCTCCAGCCTCTGAAACTGACTATAAAACTCCATTGACTCCAAATTTCTGTAAAATATTTAACATTTCAAATAGCTATTGTTAATGACTTTGGAACGAACGAGTTATTTAAGTTTAAAAGAAAGGAAACTACTAATAAGATGTGAAAGTTACTTACTGCCTATTTCACCAGTGCCGGGCAGATGTAATGTCTTGAGCATGTCCCCGGTGATGGTCGAGACTCGCGGCTCCACTTGTGCCTGTAAACACACACACACAGATCAGTGTTGTGGCTTGAGAGGGGGACACGAGGTAAGGTGGGATAGCTAGTAAACAAGTAGATATTGTCTAAGAGAAGTAGAAGTAAGAAACGTTTGTGACTGTATGAATACAAATCTACAGACTACAGAGACAAAGTAGTTTAAACTTATATGACTATATAAAACAAAGAAAGAGAGAGAGAGAGGGGGGGGGGGTGAATGGATAAATAAGGTTCATGCAGATCATATTCTATTTAGAAAAAAAAAATTTAATTCGATAAAATACCGACATCTTCGACCTTTGTTTTGGCACACTTACCTCGGTGAGGTGATGAGTCTTGCCGTTTTCAGTAATGGAGGGGGATTCCTGGATGTTGGGGGCGCCCTCTACCTCCACCACCAGGTTGTGATTCTTCATCGACACGGACACCTTGGACGTCACCTCGTTGGGTTCATCATCTGTTTCTCCTACGACAATTTCCTCCACTTGTTCCTCGCGCTCCTCCTCTACTGGCCCCTCCGAGGGAGAGGTGATCATACTGTCCTGAAGGAGCAATGTTCTCATGGAGATAGAGCAACTTCCTAACCATACGCCTTCACGTCTTACGAGTGTATTGTTGAACGAGTGTATTGGTCAAATTTATAATACATGTTATTTCCAACATTATATTAATATCTCAGAGGAAATAAATTCAAGGACCAATCCAGATAAACTGAAAGTTCAAAAAATATATATTTAATGCGTATAACACACATAGTTACGAATAATAATACTCTTAAAAATACAAGAACAACACGAATGGGTCAACACGGCAGGAATTAAACCATTTTAATATCGGTGTCTGAGGGAGATTTATATGTTAGTATCATCGACCCAAACAATCTTACAGTTAGGATCCTTGTTAGAAAAGGGTCAAAAAAATATTCTTTATTCTTAAACAGTCTTGATTGTGGTGGATCTATTACTATTACTGTTACAGAAATAATAAAGGGTAAGGATCAAAATACAGGTGATTTACTGCTGTACTTTGTTTACATTTAGAGTACTTGTGTCATCAGGACAGTGGTAACGACTGGTCATTTCAACATTTTGCATCAAGTACCCCTCATAAAACTTACACTAAAACCAAAGTTACCTAATCATACTCTGGTGTCTGCCGTATGAAATCTCAAGTCAGAATCAGTGTTTTCAGTAATGATTTACAAGTACTTTTCCATGGCATACACAAATAAGAAGTATGAAATTTGGTTCAGTAACCTTGGTGTAAACTTTAAAGGGATCTGTTTTTATAGTCAATTCCCTGGGCGTGTGTACAACTGCTGCATCCTACAATGTATTACAAATGAGTGACATAACAATATCTTTAGTTTAATATTTCCAGCGAAATTTAGATAAAACCCAAAACTTCTTCTCCATCATCATTTCACCTCACACAGATTTCGTGGTTGACAGAAACTCATCAACTATAGTTCAAATTTAATAACTCAACCACCTAATTTACTATGTCCTAATTATTAACTAACGATTAATAATTTCACTAAATCATAATTAACACATGAAATTGATTAAAAGATATTGTACTTGTAGGAGACAGCAGAGTAACAGGTTCAGGCACTGTACAAAATAGATTGGCGGGCAACAATGCACTCTAAAAATAAGAACAACGTTGTAAGAAACTAAAATGCATATTTGCCTTTATACGTCAAGAATATATATATATTTATCACCTGCATACCGTACAAATACTGTACATCTCCGGAAGTCATGAGGTTCTCGGGGTCAATAGATTTACTGGTAAAATGGTGGTGTTGATTACGTCATCAAGTCACTAATTTATGCTGCTAAATTATGTAAATGAGGAAAAAATAAATAAAGAAGTTTGAAATAGATTCAAAGTAACTCAGGAGAATGTAAAACACCCCAGTAATAATGGTTGAGTGTTTAGTGGAGAGGGAGGGAAGGCAGCCGATTTGTGTCTCAACATATCGGCACTGGTATAGTTTGAAGCCGTTTATAAGCTAGATCAGGAGATTCGGTAGCGCCTGCAAGTTTATTTTATTATTATTTAATTTTTCTCTTTATATCTTTAGTGAGTATTTTTATTATGGACTCGGGTTAATAATCAATAATTTACTTAACTCTCAAGAATATTTTTACCTAACTTACCGAGGAGCTTTGTCAGTTATTTATTTATTATTTACATGACAGTGTTCAAAAAAAAAAAATTCTGTCTTGCTGAGCTTCGTTAGTACAGTATTAAGTTTAGATATTTCCTAACATACATTTCACAAACTTTAAATTATGGTTAGTTATAAATACAGTAGTCGGACTAGTCAGAAATTGATCTCTTGGTCCATAAAGCTTGTAACTGTACTCTTGGTCCATAAAGCTTGTAACTGTACTCTTGGTCCATAAAGCTTGTAACTGTTTTCTTGGTCCATAAAGCTTGTAACTGTACTCTTGGTCCTTAAAGCTTGTAACTGTACTCTTGGTCTTTAAAGCTTGTAACTGTACTCTTGGTCTTTAAAGCTTGTAACTGTACTCTTGGCCCTTAAAGCTTGTAACTGTACTCTTGGTCTTTAAAGCTTGTAACTGTACTCTTGGTTTGTATTCACTTAAGATTATAAAACGCTAGGCTTATGCACTTGTAATCTCTCATACATTTTGTTTATAATTATACTGTTGCCTATAATCTAGCGGTTATACCTTTGGTCTATAATGCTCTTGGCCATGAATTGATTTTGTTTATTCTTGAAACAGCCAAAATATAAATACTTTCAGATAACTTATAAAATCAAGTTAGAGTTTTTACTTATGGGACAAAACTTTTAATATTATGACTGGAGGAGTTTACATTTAATCTCTTATTTTATTTATTGTTATATTGTTGATGGAGTTTAAATAGTAATGCTCATAAACACTTTATATATATATCAAAAGATGTATAATTGTTTAATCAATTATTACTGGAATATTACGTACTATTGATAATCATGGATTTTTATATTTATACTATACTATATTATTATTATTATTATTATTATTATTATTATTATTATTATTATTATTGTTGTTGTTGTTGTTGTGATAAGGTGAAGGTGTTAATGCCGGGAAAGAAAGGCACAGTTACACCTGCAGTTAACAACAAAGAATAAAAAAAAAATTATCATTGGGGTTATTAGAAGACAATTTACACATTTTTGCTTTTTTTTACACATTTAGGCCAAACTAACAACAGAGCAGTGGAACATTTACCATAAACAGGACAACCATGAATAGTGAAAGTTACATCGAAAACCGGAGAGGAAGAGTGTTGTTAAATATTTGAAGTGGGGGAAAGAAAAATGTTCTAAATCAACATGAATAATAATGTTAATGTCTGACAACTCTCATGAGGTAAGTGGCGACTGCGTAAGAAGTGCGGAGGTGTGAGGGATGAGATATTTTATTACGTCATTCCTGGGTGTTTCCGCGTTTAATAATACGTTATTTATATATTTGGTTGTTTATACACGGAGTAGTAATGGTTGTCATTTATGAGGGTGGGCACACGTAAGGTTGACCTGGGGGGGGTCATGGTAGGTACATGCACGTTATAGCAAGGCAGTAAGTATATTTAATGTTATATTTTTATAATTTTTATGTTATGGGAAAAATTAGAGGTAAACAATCCATGAAACAAACCTGAGGCGATCAAGGTGTTCTATTTTAGATTGAGTTCCTGTTTTGAAAAAGGAAAAAAAATCCTCTGTTGCAATGGGAAACTTTTTTTAGAGTATTTCTAGGCTATGGGTTTAATACAAATACAGAAGAAGTTTGAATAAAATTAAATGATTGTATTTAAACCTTACGCCACAAGTAAAATGTATAAATAACATAACTGAGGTAAATTTTGAGGGAACAAGTGTTATGCAGATGCAGTGGATTCTTACACACTTCATGAGATGAAAGGGAGACGTAGGAGGTGAACCAAACTCACGTTACAGAGACATGAGGAACCAGTTTAACATATGTTACAGGACAGGAGTTACATACATGCGAAGGGACATAAATTATACACTTGTGACAAGAGCAATGATTAACACGTGGAAGAAGGATGTTAACCTGATGAAATAGCTAAGGTTTATTTAAATGTACTGAAAAAAAATCTTTCAAGGCATAGGATAGGAGGCGTTGAGCGATCACAGAAACAGTCAGAGAAAAACGCCTGATAGTAGGCAAAAAGAGGTGACGTTTTGGGTGCTTCCCTTCCCCTGGCTGTCCAACTTCTTGCTCCCTCCCCTTGTTGCCTGATGTCACCATTTTCTTATAGAACTCCTGTCTTTCAGCGAAGGTCGATGGGAGAGCACCGAAAACATCGCCGCCAAGACAGAGTGGCGGAAGGTTATGTCAAGAGGTCACGAGGTCAACAAAGGGTTATACACCTGCCTGAGGCGAGGGTGGGGGCGGCACAAGGGAACACTTGCTGTGATAAATCGACGAAGTGTCAGTCTGGTCCTGTAGGAGCAAGGCAGCGCTTTGGTGGGTCTCATTAATCAACAACGTCACCCATCACCCATATTTTACATATTATCATATATTTCTTTCACCTGGAATAGACTATGGGATGAACTGTGATGATTGTGATTTACAGATGATGTAAAATAAGAGGAAATTGACAGTAACCTGAAAATAAGTGACAGTTAGCCAAACTAATGAGACCAAACTGAACCTAAGGAACAGGGAAGTATGTAAATGCTTATTGACCTGTACTGTATTATTCACCAAAAATAACATTGTTTGTGCTGCTTATGGCAGACTTACCTTTGAAGATGTATGCATCTCTTTGAGTTGCTGTCATACTCTGTTCTCACTAAAAGTCTAACTTCACGATGTATACTTTTCCAAACTGGCAATATTCCATAATGCTTTAATTTGTACTATCGAAACTCCCTATTTTTTTTTTTATTGGGCATCCCCCCCCCTACATCCTTGTGTAAGGTGAAGCGCATAAGCGTTTGCAGCACCCAACAGGGAAGGATGCTAAGTTCATTCTTGCTTTATGTCTCAAGAGTTAAGGGCGTAGAAGCCTGAAGCCTGAAGACTCAAGGGCGTAGAAGCCTGAAGAGTCAATGGTTTTTATGTCTAAGCAAGTTATTGGAAGCTCCAACTCCCTGAATATGAATTCGCAACTTTCGATTTACAGCAGGTACCTACTTTACTGCTAGGTGAACAGGGACCAGGGGGACTAGGAAGAGTGTCCAAACAACTTCCGCCGGCCCGGTAATCGAACCCGTGACATCTTGCTTGCGAGGCAAGAGCGGTACCGCTCCACCAGCGCCCCCCAAACTCCCTCATTGTTCACAAGGGTTTTAGTAAATTCGAAAGGCGGATAAATCTAGAAAAATTTAATTAGTAAATTTTGTCAACAAACGTATATAAAGTGAATTTATGAGCATAGTTGAGTGTAAAAACAAGAGGAAAGGTTAATAAAAAGGTTTTCCCTCTATTTGGAGAGACAAATACGAGTTAAACATGGTGATTCTGTAGCAAATATGCCGACGAAGCTGACGTATATACTGCTGTGGAAATTTCAGAGTACTACACCCACCCACGAATTCGAACCTTACAAATAGGACACCAATGAACTCGAAGCAGCTGGTAAAGTTCTGTTATTATAGTAGCACTGTATAAGGCAGGGGGTGGGAGGTGGATGGATATGGGTTATGGTAGTCACAGAGTTTTATGCAGGAGGAAGTTGTCAAGTATTGTTTCTGTATAATAAGGGTAGATGAAGGCCCACAATTCTTCCTCACAAAGCTAGTTGTTCCTCCTGCCTTTTCATTGTGAGAAGTCAGAGCTGATAATAAGCTTTAATACTTTTGTGATCCTGACAATACCTCGGCTGCATTGTGATTGGCTACTGACATTGTTGACGTCACAGCGTGGAAAGCTTCAATATTGTATTTTATGTTCTCCTTCCCGACCTTATTTCCTTATATAAATTTTCATATATTTACGGAATATATAAACACATATCTCTAAGTCATTATAACCCTTCCTACCTGCATACATAATTAACCAGCAGAAATCAATAACATGACAATCGTATGCTGCACACACACACCCACAACACCTCCTCCCACCCACTGTTACCAGATGATGGACTCTAGCAGGTGGCTTGTGATTCACTGGTTTCACACTGACGGGGTTCACATCGTGGATGGGTGTAGCGCTCGGACCTTTCCCCAGTTGTACACTACATGTCTTTGGTAACAGGAAGAACCTACAGTTGTTCAGCTTGAGATTTTTGTTTATGGATTAAAGCCAGTGTTTTAACGTGGTGACAATTTTGTAAAAAAAAAAAAAAAAAAAAAATAATAATAATAATAATAATAATAATAATAATAATAATCATAATAATAACGTTGGATGACGCCTATATCAAATTTGCGATATTGATTTTTGACATTTTGAGTTGGTAAACTTTGAATTTTTAATGGCTGTCAGGAGGAATCACTTCGCCATTATGATCGATATTGCTTTATTCACCATGAGGAGTTTATATCATAGACGTATATCGAATCTGAGAGTTCCAGGGCAATAGCTTAAATGTCCTCAGACCAAAATTTATCTTCTGGGTCACAATCATGACCCTAAAATAGCCGTCTGTTTCTTCAGGACAACTCTATAGTAAATGTTGGTGAGGATCGTTGTGTAGATCAAATGTTATTGATCTGAAAGTGAAATATATAAAACAAAACAGATAGATGATGCTAATACACAAGCCCAACGAAGCTACTACAGTACATCATCCTCTCCTGCACCGTCTCCTGTAACCACCTGAGATCTCTTGTTTGCAAATTGCTGTTCGACACCACAACCGCCTCTAGCCCATACAACCCCGTACTGATGGCTCAAAGAAACACCTCTTTTCCAACCATTTTAAAACTCATCAAAAACTCTGTTAACTTCTGTATTCGCTTCTTCTGTACTGCAACTGTGCTGAAATTCTTTTGTAAATAGCCCTCTTCCCTTCCATTATATATGTATTATGCCATAAACGGCCGTTGCATTCGCTAATAAACCTTTAATTATTATCGTTAGAATTGTTATTATTATAATTACTTCACACACACACACACACACACACACACACACACTTCAAGCTCGTGTCACAAGGCGTACTAATTCACATCTCTAGACTATGCTATAACTAATCTATTGAAAAATTGATGGCAGCGTTAGGTGTCATTGTCACTTGGTTTTTATTCATAGTCAGGTTTTTATTTACGATGATAAATATCTTCAATTTATGCTTTCCTTTAGGTGCTTAAAAAAAGTTGACACCAGTTTTCCTTCTTCTCGCCACCAGTGTAGCCAACGAATGTTGCACAGAGTTTAGGTATTTCTGAATGCTTTGGCAGCAGATCTTGTTACTGACTAGTTTCTAAGTTAAGATGGTTATTATTAGCGATACGCCCGCAGCCGAATTTCCAGAGAAAATTAATTTAAAAATGCCGCAAATTCAGTATGTTTTGCAGTGGACACTGTCGTAGTTTGGGCAAATGTGTTAAAATGTGATTATTTCTAAATTAAACCTGACCTAACCTTAGTTGATAAGAAACACAAGTGGTCGAAGCATTGTTAGAAGACTGAACCAACCAAACCAAAGAAACCTGCCTAACCTTACCAAACTTCCTTTGTTCACCCCCCCTGGCATACCAAACAGAAAGAGCTTACTCTAATATGAAGCTAACTTCCAAACAACTGAGAAAACAGCTGATGGTGTAATTTTACGTTTTTTGTGCACTGGGCGACTCGGTTGTTGAGCTGAAATATACAAACAGCAGACGACCTCAAGCATGGATTAGGCCGCCATGCCGTTTCACCGCCGAGAAAGACTAAGTAGTGCGAGCCTAGGAGCCTAATTATCTACCAAATGAAGCATTTGTCCAAGAAATTAATATCATATCCGGACTCACGGATGAAAATATAGTAAGAAAAGATCCATCAAAACAAATTATGCGGCGACGGGTGTGTCTTTAATATTAGCCGCTAAGATATATTGTTATATGTACCTTAATATTACGAGCCCTAAGCTAAAAAAAGTGACAAACATAAAACAACAAATTTCTAAAAACTACCAAAATGGCAACTATATCCACCTTTAAGTTTCGTCCAAAAAGATGACAGCACTTTTTTTTTTGGTAATCGAGTGTAAATTTTGGTGAAAACTAATGTGTTCCAAGACTATTAAGGATGGGAGAATGAGATTGTTCCGGTGTGAAGCACTTACCTTGAGAGGCAGGAGTTAGTATTATGGACAATCCTGGAATTCATGGCAGGAAATAAAAGAGCTTCTAACATGTATTAAGTTTAAGCAAATACGTGAAAGGTGTAAGTGTCTCCGGGCAGTGCCACTCAACCTCCACTAAAGGGTAGAGAAAAGGCTGGTATGCACGAGTGATCTGTTATGTATCATGAGTAAAGATACACCTCTCAATGTAAGTGTAACTTTACCGTATTAGTGAATCATTAAAATTTAAAAACATAAAATATTGATCAGCATTACAAAAGGCAAATAGATATAATGGAATTGCTCAAGCGAAAAACAAGCACATATCTTTTTTTTTTCATTGAGGCTCTGGCTTACCATATAGCTATCGTAGCAAACATATTAAAAAATGTCCAGAAAGTACTGAAAAATACACTAAACTAAGATGAGCTTAGAGATTACAGCAAGAAAGTTAGGGTGTTGTTAGTGGTAGTGCCTCACCTGCGGTATTAGCTGGTCCCTACTGTTGGGGTCCTTGGTGACCCGGGAGGCGCGCGACGACTTCCTGGAGCCTCCGTCGCGGCTCTTGAGGGAGGTCTGGGCTGTGTCCTCCCGCTCCACCTTTCCGGCATAGCCTTCCCCGCGGTACTTCACCCACAGTCGCCTGTACCAACGCCCGCCGTAGGGAGGCCCCGGGTGTGTGAGGGAGAGTGGGAGGAGAAAGAACGAGAGAGAGAGAGTCAGACATATAAACAGCGAGATAGAGAGAGAAAGAGAGACAATTAAGGGGAAAATAATAAAATGAATTAATTAATGATAAACATACGTCCATCTAAAACAACATAAGATATATTTTAAGTTTGAAAATGATTTGCTTGAAATTGTTTACACATCTGAAGCAAGAGGAATATAGCAAAATATCCTGTGGCAGGTTGCAGGAGGAAAGATACATCTATATAATGCAGTACACATAGGATAAAGGAGAGACTAAGAGGCAAAGTATTCACTGCCATGATTCAGTTTCCATCTATAAGTTTTTTAAAGGTTTCATAGTAAATAATAGAAACAAAATGCTCCTACAAGTTGCTTCATCACCTCCCGTAAGTTGGACCATACGTTCTGTTCACTTCTGATTTACAAGTACTATTTTGTTTATTCCTACAAGCTTATTCTAACGTAATGGTAGTTAGCCAAAATCTAGACCAGTGATTCTCAAACGGGAGGCACTTGGCTCCCAGGGGAGGAATTTTAGCCAGGGGAGGAATTGGGGAGGAATTTCAGTCAGGGGAGGAACTCCAAACGGGGAAAGAATGTACTTTGTACACTGTGTATATATCAAACGAGGACGTCTCAACATTTGTGAGCGTGGTGACCTTCGAGCAAAACTAACTGGATTTGTTCCTCGGTTTTCTAGTTTAGTTACTCTGCACGCAGGCCAAAGTGGGCATTAAATCAGATAGAAGTTTTATGATCCATTGAAATAAGGATTTCTTTTTTAAATTGATGGCAATTAATAAAGCAATTTAGTTTCATAAATTGTTTCAATAATTACCACTGTAAAAGTATAATGGTGAAAATATTACTAGATGACAATTCAAAATGGAGGAGGAATGTGACCTGGGACTCTGAGAACCACTGGTCTAGACCCCACAATCACTCATTCATTGTCTCTCACTGAATCTACTAATTATTTTCTACTTTGCTGGTGCTTCCCGTTCTATCCCCAGAAATAGATTGACTTCATTTACTCACATCATTCACAAACACACACTTTCCCATCTAATCTGCTGTCTCTCTCCCATCCCTTCCTTCAATCTGCTTAGACTTTCCCATCTCTGAAATAGTCTTTTTTTTTTACCATTTTATCTCACTTGACATTCTTCACACACATAGTAACGTTGATGTGATGCTGTAATTACTAAGTTTGTTATGCGCTTAAAGACCATCGTTATTGTTGAGGCGTAGTAATATCATTATTACAACAGCAACTTCTTCTTATACACGTGTTTTTTTATTTATTTATTTTCACTATATTCACCCCTCCATATTATACGGACACTCTTTGTTGATTCTTTTTAAATAATAATAATAATAATTAACGGTTTATCAACAAATACATAAGTGTTACATAAATATAATGACAAGGAGGGAGGGGTCATTTAACAAGGAATTTCAGCACAGTTACAGTACAAAGGTGAGATAAGTAAGAAGTGAACTGTTTTTATAGTGATCAGTTACGAGGAGGTCAAGAAATAATCCGAGATGACCGGACAACTCGCCAACTGCAGTGGTTAACCATTATCCTGGAGCACGATCAGTTACTAGAATATCATCCAGGTTCCCAATAAATATATTCGTACGTGTGTGTGTGTGTTTAAACACTGGCACATCCTTAAAAACATACCTCCACCACCGTTAACTTAACCACCCTGTACGGTGCCTGAAAACAAGACAACTCAGTTAGGAATTCGATCTTCAAGGCAAATTTTACACCAAGAGCACTGGGTAGCTCAATGTTAGCGATCCCGTCTCCAATGCTGTTGTAAAGGTTAGAATGCTGTATGTATGTATGTACGTATGTATGTATGTATGTATGTATGTATGTATGTATGTATGTATGTATGTATGTATGTATGTATGTACGTATGTATGTATGTACGTATGTATGTACGTATGTATGTATGTATGTATGTATGTACGTATGTATGTATGTACGTATGTATGTACGTATGTACGTATGTATGTATGTATGTATGTGTCATGGGTTGCGTTAGGCTTACCCACGCAACCAACTCCAAAGTTTGTTTTACTAGAGATAAGACGCCCGGCGAGGCATAACTGGGACATGTATTTTCCATTAGTGTATGTTAGCCAGCCTTTAGGAGGGGGGGAGGGTGAAACAGTGTTGTACTGTTCATCGCTTCACACCCAAAAACCCCATTTTAAGTAGTATCCCGGCGACCATGGCATAGTTAAGACGTCGTCTCCATCCTCTCCCTCCTGAAAGGGAGCGGGACACCACACCACACAGAGTCCTCCACAGCCACTCCGTCCTGTGGACCGTCGTCGACACGAGACTAAGTGTGTTAACTTAGGTTGTTATCCCCGTGGACATATCACGTGTGGATGCCTGATTGCAACAAGAGCAATCCAGGCTGGCCTATCAAACCTACAGTAAATGGTTAATCAATTCACACTTAGAGTTCTCCTGCACGACACCGGTCTACAGTGACCGTGATCGACACGAGACTAAGTGTGTTAACCTAGGTTGTTATCCCCGTGGAAATATCACGTGTGGAGACTATATGTGGTAACCCAAGAGTACTTTTTGTTGTTATGGCCATGGAAAGAAGTTCTTGTGCGGAAGCCTGGTTGCAACAAGAGCAATCCAGGCTGACAATATATGTATCACTTGAGAATTAAGGCTCTGTGAAGTCATACCCATAGCCTAGTAGAGTAATCACATGTGTCCCCAAGTTGAAATTTCTCTTTTAGAAGATTAAATTTATTACAGCGTGAACGTGAGTGATTCATATATCCATGCAAATTGTAAATCATTGTATGGAAGCTTGACAAATAAATGTAAGTGCAATTATCTGCCCGTATCTGTGATCCTATCTTATTATTACTAAAGGTAATGACTGATTGGTTATGACAAAGTATAACCAATAACTTAGATGGATGTTGGAAATTAATGGAATTCATTAAATCATCATTTATCAAGTATAAATCATGGAATGTCGAGTGGTGGAGTGAACTTCTACGTAGATACGCCATAATCTCCTGTAAGTAACCAGTGTGAAGGTATCGAACTCTACGGTAAGAAATAAGAAATGCGACATATTATTATCTTTATATAATATAATCCACTCTTATACCACCGATCAACACAAAACCATGACAGTATGTATGCATGTGTCCCAATCAGCATAAAAATGTATCGTCACCCCACAGCCCACCAAGTGCACAATTAACTCAGGGGCTGATAATTCTACTCCTAAAAATAATATATCTGGGTATATGAATGTATGTCCGTACAATGAGGGTGAGAAGAGGACTGAAATTATGATGACTACCTAAGCTACCCTCTCGGTATATTAAAGTACCAAAAGTCTGCCTGAAATAAGGTGATGTAAGATCAACATTGTGTGAAACGGTATGAGTAAAACAAGATGTGGTGCTATTGTTAAGTAATGATGGAAAACAGGAAGATTAGTCCAAGAATATTACAGACTATAGACTAAATGTGTGGAACAAGATATCCGTTATTGTGAGTGTGTGTGTGTGTGCCGCCGGGAGTGAAAAGTAAGGGGTGGGGAAGGGGTGTTTCCCGGAATCCCTGAATAGCTACATTGAACGACTCAATATTGGAGATAAATTGATAGTGAAGGGATATTTAAATGGGGCAGCTGGTGAAAGGGAAATGGAGTACATTGGGGAGAATTATGAAGTGCCAGGAATGAATGGGAAGAGATGTGTGCTGAGAGAGAGATGAATGAAGTAGATATCTTGGTGCCCTATACTGGAGGGGACACCGTATCACAACTTATCTGATGCAGAAGTAGAAATGAAGGATTAATAGTGAATGAAGGGAAATTGATTTTGCTCTAAAATCCTTAACAGAAAACGGGAATCCTGGACAACAACACTGCGGCGAGAGGCAAGTCCTAGTTCTCAGCGTTATTTTGAGAGTATTTGTGTACAAAGAAAGTCAGTGGCTGAGGTAGAGAGGTACAAGGACTCCTGGACTGGTTAGCTGTTGAACTATATAATAGCACTATTGGGACATTCGAGGAATCGTCTGTCTCGGGTACTCTTCAAGGGCGCCATCAGTGACTTTAAGAACTTTGAACTCGGCACTCCTCAGGCCGGGGTACTCATGCATAGTCTCATAGATCCACTCCCCCTGAGAGGGACAGAACGGATTGCCAGCTATGATGATGACATCCCTGATGACGCTTCAACCATAAGTACTGGTCGAGTCAAGACGCTCCTCAAGAAAGCCGTTCTTCATCTCATAAACGAAGAACGAAGTGAACAGCGAGGTGCTAGTGTTAGTGTTCGCCATTATAAAAAACATTGTGAGACAAAATATCTATACGGCCGGAATAAATGTCTGACTCGGCTCAGTGATGTAGTTGTCGCCAGAATCAATCTTGGCTATAGGCCATGTTGAAAACTCATGAGAAATCCTTCCCTTGCACAGCCTTCAGCATTATATCTCAAAGTGCAGACCAATTCGCTCCTTGTTACCACTTAAAAAACCCTTTTACGAACTCTGTAAATTCATCTTAACTACCAATGCCCTGGACACTATTTTACCATTATACACAAAAATGTTTACCATATAAAATACCTGCTCTAGAAGACCACCACTTCACTCACTTGTCTTAGCACACTATGAGGTGAAAGTTTCAGGGTCTCATTCCTTACACTCACTAGCAGCCACTTTGACTAAAACTTGGGGTGTAGCCGCCCTACGAAGCAAGTCTGTAATTTAGCTTGACGGCCAGTTGACTGTGTATACGACTGCCGTCCCCATGTAAGGCGTAAATAAAGACCTAAAAACTAACTAAATTCCGACTATCCTGCAAAGTGGTGGTAATGGCCTAACAAGAGTGACCATAAAGCCAAACTTTGGTAAACTTATCCAAGTCCGAGCAA